AAGGGCACGCTTTCCCAGTGTTATCCAATGTTCTCACTGAGTGGGTCTTGCAGAACATCAGTGACCAGGAATCCGTGCATAAGCTTCTGCCCCTCTAAGGGAGAGAAGTAAGGCTTATGGAGGGCACTGGAAGGTCCAACATGGCGTGTTGGTTGGGATCCATTCAAGTCAGATCCCACTGACAAACTTAGGATTGACCGACATGAAAGGGAACAGCTCGGGTACGTATGGTAACCCACGTTCCCTGAAAGAGGGAACGGAGACATTCGTCCCGTCGCCATGTTGTTGTACCATCGCTGCAGAGGGTCGGGTCCCTGTCTCGGCTCCTCAGCGAAATGCTGCTCATTGTATACCTGCGCTGCATGATAGAAGCAGGCATTTGACAGTGGTAGTAATAAGCCGGTGTGGTTTTACCTAAGGTTACAAAGTCAGTCTCACTGCCAATAGCTACGAGCTTGCATAATTTATTTATGTGTTGCATTAGATGGTTTATTAGATGGTTCAACATTCAAGATGGCGCCAGGATGTTTGCCGGCTTGCCACAGTCTGTCCTTGTCTCTTTTATTTTTAATGTTTCTTGTTTGTTTTATCACGCGCTCTGTTTGCTCCCCTCTGATATATGATCGCATGACGCTATTGAATATTCGATCGGCTGTGTCCGATTGTTTATTTCGTGATCTCAGAGATGATTGGCATCTGCACTCGTATTCCGTGCCAATCACATTAAGGAAAATGTGTTACCTACCGGGATGTCTGTGCATGCGGAGGAAACGGCGAAAGAGGCGTGGGAAGCGTGCTGGAGTCCTTGCGAGATCAAAGAGGGTCGGGAAGTTTCCAGTCATCGGACCTGCCTCTTCGATGGCGGAGGCCGTGGTCGTGAGCCTGAGATGTTCACACATTGTGCCTGTCTTCCCGTCTTCGTCGTTGACGCCTCAGTCATCGCGGATGGTGTACGTAAGGCGTAAGTCTGCGGATCGAGGAGCTGATCTTAGAAATCTTCGCTCTCTATCACGTGACGGGAGTCCGGTAACATTTTGTGATTCCTCTCTGATTGTGAAATCCTCTTCCGATCCCACTCCAGTGACAATGGCGTTGATTAACGCGAGATCTCTGGCAAATAAGACCTTTATTTTGAACGATCTTTTTCTTTCTCAAGAAATTGATTTTTTATTTGTTACTGAGACCTGGCTTAATGCTGGTGAGATGACTTCTCTCTCTGAACTTTCTCCTCCTGGTTGCAGTTTTTTTAGTACCCCTAGGTCGGTTGGCCGGGGCGGGGGTCTTGCAGTTGTTTTTAAAGACAAGTTTAAGTGTAGACTTTCACCTTCTGAGTCTTATAGCACTTTTGAATCTCAGCTAATTACGCTGAATTCTTTTAAATCTGTGTTATGTGTACTGATTTACAGACCCCCTAACTTTCATGGGGGTTTTATACAGGAGTTCTCTGAACTTTTATCTGGGATTGTGCCTTCTTTTGACAATATTTTAATTTTGGGGGACTTTAATATACATGTGTGCTGCCCTTCAAAGCCCCTGGTCAAAGAATTTTTACATTTATTAGAGTCGTTTGATTTTTTGCAACATGTTTTGGGTCCAACTCATGAACGTGGTCATACCCTTGACCTTGTATTATCAAAGGGATTCTTTGTTGATAGTGTGAAAATTGTCGATACTGTTTTTTCTGACCATAAGACTGTTATTGTAAATACTAGCTTTCCTTGTGGTGCGCCATGTAATATTGCTTCTGCCTCAGTTTCATCTCGCATACTCAATCCATGCACAGCTAGTAGTTTTTCAGCTGCTTTTAATGTCTCTTCTTTTTTTTCATTGATTGAGTCACACTCTCCCTGCATAGGTGTAGAAGAGTTGGTTGATCAGTTTAACTCTTCTTGTTTAGAGATTTTAGATGTTGTGGCTCCGGTCAAAGTCAGGGGGAAAAAAGTCAAATCTCAGCCCTGGTTGAATAGTACTACCCGTGCTCTTAGGCAGGAGTGTAGGAGGGCTGAACGCAAATGGGTTAAAGATAAATTACAAGTTTCTTATGAAATTTTGAAGAACCGCTTGAATGAGTATCAAAGAGCTGTTAAATTGGCTAGATCAAATTATTTTTCTGACATCATCTCCAGAAACGGTAATAATTCTAGAGTACTTTTCTCAACTGTAAATGCTGTTCTTCATCCTACTGCTACTCCTTCATTTACTCCTTCTGCTAAGTTATGTGAAGAGTTCTTAAACTTTTTTATTGGTAAGGTTGAAGGAATTAGATCTCAGATTTCATCTGTTGCCAATGATTTTATCGCTCATGTTGACCCTACGAACCAATTTACTAGTTTTATGCCTGTTTCTTTACAGCAGATAAATGATATAACTGCTCATATGAAGCCCACCAGGTCTCCTGGTGACGTGCTCCCTTCTTCTCTGTTTAAGAAGGTACTTGATTCAATTGGCCCGACCATTCTTTCTATTATGAATACTAGTTTGTCATCTGGTGTTGTTCCGGTTAGTTTTAAGCATGCGGTTATTCAGCCCCTTTTAAAAAGAAATGGCCTAGACTCCTTTGACATGAGTAGTTTTCGTCCAATTTCGAAATTACCTTTTATTTCAAAGATACTGGAAAAAATTGTGCATGTACAGCTAAATGACTACTTAATGAGGAATAATATTGCCGATAGATTCCAGTCAGGTTTTAGAGCTGGTCATAGTACAGAATCTGCTCTTTTGAGGGTCTCTAATGATATCCTACGAGGTGTTGATTCTGGAAACCGTGTTGTTTTGCTTTTGTTAGATCTTACAGCGGCTTTCGATACAGTGGATCATAACATTCTCATTAATCGTCTTAGGAATCAGGTTGGTATTCAGGGCTTAGCCCTGAAATGGTTCTCTTCATATTTGAAGGATAGGACCTTTTCAGTCAGTTTAGGGGAATATTTTTCTTCTGTTGCCCCTCTTGTGTGTGGGGTTCCACAGGGATCTATACTGGGACCTATTTTATTTTCCCTTTATATGCTCCCTCTAGGCTCGATTTTTGAGAAATTTGGGATTCAGTATCATCTGTATGCGGATGATTCTCAAATTTATTTACCATTGAAACATGGGCATAAATGTGCCATTCAGTCTTTCCATGCATGTTTGGCCGAAGTTAAGTGTTGGCTTGCGAATAACTTTCTCCAATTAAATGAGGATAAGACCGAGATGATTTTATTTGGAAATAAGGGGTGTGTGGATGATGATTGCCTGGGGTTGTTTCCTGGGAAAAAGCTGTCTAGTGTGAGGAACCTTGGTGTCATTTTTGACTCTGAGCTTAAATTTGACCGGCAAATCAATGCTGTCGTTAAGAATAGTTTTTTCCATCTTAGATCAATTGCTAAATTGAAATCTATCCTTACTTTTGATGATATGGAGAAGGTTGTTCATGCTTTTGTGTCATCCCGTTTGGATTACTGTAATGTTTTGTATTTGGGTGTGAGTCAGGCCTCTCTCTCCCGTCTGCAACTCGTTCAGAACTCAGCTGCCAGACTTTTAACAGGTACTAAGAAGAGAGAGCACATTACTCCGGTTTTAATTAAATTACACTGGTTACCCATAAGATACAGAGTTCAATACAAAGCATTGTTGTATGTTTTTAAGTCTCTGAATGGCCAATCACCTGAATATGTTACTGACTTAATTAGCCGCTGTCAATCCAGTAGATCTCTGCGCTCAAATGATCAATTGCTTCTCATGGTTCCGCGGTCCCGTTTGAAAGGTAAAGGTGACCGGGCCTTCTCTGTTGCGGCTCCTAGGCTCTGGAATGATCTTCCCCTGTCTGTGAAATCTTGTCCTTCTTTGGGTGTTTTTCAGAGTGCGCTTAAAACTTACTTGTTTTCTTTAGCATTTGATAATCCTTTGTAAGGTTTTTTATGTCATGTGTTTGTATTGTTTTTTATTCCTTTATTTTACTTTCTATTTTATTCATTTTGTACAGCACTTTGGTTCCACTTGTGGTCTTGAAAGTGCTCTATAAATAAAGTTGAGTTGAGTTGAGTTGAGTTGCAAGAAAAATAGTTGTACACAGCTGTAAATTATTAAGTTGGGTATCACTTTTCCAAGTAAATATAATAATTTTACTTTTTAGGGTTGCTTTTTCATATTTATTGAAACTGTTATGTGTTTCATAATTTGTTTCTGATTATTTGTTTATAAGTCATCAACTGTACAAAATATATATAAAAAATTAAAAAAAAAATCAAAAATATCAAAGAATATGAAATTGCCCTATGAAATATTTTATTGCTTCTATTTCTATTGCTTCTGAATTTCTATTAACAGGGTCCTTGTCATGTGTATGAATATGAAGTCAAACTATTTGTGAATAATTTCCTTAAATCATCCAGCACAACTAAATGTAGGCTTATTACAGTGGACTAGTTTCTATGCAGAATGCTGTATTATAACAGATGCCGTTCCAGTTTTCAGTTAGTGTTGAAGCAGTGATGAGTCATATCAGTGGATCTTGAGAGTGGCCTCCTTTGCCAATTGTATTTGCCCTACATGCAAAAGTCACTGCTCAAATTGACCTAATCCTATCAAAGCAGTATATTTTTGCTACTTAATTAATATCAAAATTGGTACACATCTTAATCCATTTTATAATGTTTGCATTGCCTTCTCATTCAATAAAAAAAAAAGTTTTACAATGACTTTGCCATCCTAGATGTTACAATGCTGTCAAACCAGATCAAACAAATATTGAGGAATAACTTTTCTTATTTATTTTCCTACAATTATTTTGAAACATTACACTTAATTAGGGTGGTGTTATGAAATAAAAATGTATAATTATTGTTTAAGCATTAATACAGTCAGAGTATATTGGATTAAAATCAATAACATGACAAAATGTTGACTAAATTTAAAGGACATTTTCTTTGAAAGGAAAAAAAATCTATGACTAATAATAATAATAATAATAATAAATACCTTAATTCTCAATCTCAATACTCTTTTTGTGCTCTTTGCAGGACTACACCATCACCATGTATTTCCAACAAAGCTGGAGGGACAAACGGTTGGCCTATGCTGAGATGGCTTTGAATCTCACTTTGGACAACCGTGTGGCTGATCAGTTATGGCTCCCAGACACCTACTTCCTGAATGACAAGAAGTCTTTCCTGCACGGTGTGACAGTGAAGAACCGAATGATTCGGCTCCACCCAGATGGTACTGTTCTTTATGGACTGAGGTAAATGCCACTGCCTCTGTAACATCACTGCTACCTACGTGTATTGTGCTGTATAATGTCAGACTTTCCAATAACACTGCAAACCACAGTCTTAAAGTCCACTGGAAATCAGAAATGACCTTAGCGCACATTACTAGTCATGTGGTGAACAATTAATCTATGACAATTACATTTGCCACAATACTGATGTTAAGTCGGACACAACTCTGTTCGCGCTGACTTTAACATGATTGTAATCAGCAGAAAGTAATGAATAGGTTTCATTTACTCAGTCCAAGATCAATAATTCCCTGATTAACAGTAATTTAACCTGAATTTTGCAGCCATTTTGTGTGACATCATTCTTGTATTTGTTGTTGATATCAGTATCAAAGTTCTTAGTACTGTGTAACTGTACTTATAAGTTAAACTTCAAGTCACACTTGCTATCACATTGAGGACAAGGTTAGCTATGGGAAAGCTTCTATTTGGAGTGTGTGAAAGATATGTGTTAATGGTTCACAGCACTGACAGACTGTGTTGAAAATGAAGGCGCTAATGATATTGGGTGGAAAGTGTGAAGAAGCTTTGCCTTATTTGAGTTACCCCCCCCCCGCTTCAAACTTCGTTATTGATTTGCCCAAAGTAAGGTGGTCCCTTACTCTCACAAAACATAAAACTACTTATAGCAAATTAGTCACGACTGTTTCCTGAAACTGTAACATGGCGGAATCTTCTGAAAGACTATACTGAATCATGAGCAAAACACATAAAGAAAGATGCAGAAACAAAAAAATATAATGTAATCATATGAATATGTAAAATAATGCTATCTTCAACATTAAATAGCATAGAAATCAAAACTGCCCAAAGTTACTGAATGAAATGTCGACCCAGGACGAGCTATGGGACTGTGCAACCGTGTTGGTGGACTCGATCTACTCCATCTATGTTTTTAATATTGTTCTGAATCCGATCCTTATTGTAGTCTTTGACAAAATGTGATTTTCTCAGCTTTTTGCTCAAAATTTTGCTTTTTGAATGAAACTTACCCACATTCAAGTTTTGATTAAAAAAGAATGCATGAATGATTTATTTGTTGGTAACACTTTATTTTGATGGTCCCTTTTGAACATTCTACTAAAGTAACATTGCAACTACATGTAAACTAACTCTAACTAGACATTGGTGACTGGCAACTTTATAAAAATAAAAAAAAAACGCTGGTGGGGAAAGGCTAATTAATCTATTAAAAATCGCCATTAATGCCAGCTGTTTATAGTTAATAGGGGATTATCACGCTGACACGTAGTGCTTCCGCATTCAGTGATCTTTGTGCACTGCCACTTCCGTTGAATCACCGATCACTCTGGCGAACTGATGACGGACTACACTAGGTTTATTTATACAGCATCCCTGGTAAATTAGTCTGATTCACTAAAGTGCCAGTGTCGTGCCGAAAAGTGATGGTCCGCCGAAAAATGATGGCTGGCCGCGGGAGCACGCGCAGTGTGTTAAAGATGTATCGCCTGTTCTCTTTATGAATGCAGTTGCTTTTATGTGGATCAAACAGACATGACGTGCAAATAAACATCACTCACCCAGTACTTTTACCTATTAAAATACCTGTAAAGGGCCAATACAACCATTATAATGCAGTATTATTTTACCTGCCAAAAAGTGATTGGAGCCTCTACATATTGATTGAAAGGTTATTTCTGCCTTGAAATTAGTCAATTATATTCATGAGGATTAAATCCGACTGATTGTAACTCACCTACTACTTTTTACCTATTAAAATACCTGTAAAGGGCCAATACAACCATTATAATGCAGTATTTCCAACACATTCTCATCCTTTAGCGTCATATAGGACGCTATATGACAAAACGGTGCTATACTACTCACATGGCACCCGTTATCGTTAATATAACACGCTGTGATGGTTAGGTTTAGGTGTGGGGCAGGGTAAGGTAGTCTCATATTATGCTAAAGGATTTATGACGCCTTGGGTTCGTGTGAATATTAACGATAAAGGGTGCCATGTGCGTAGTATAGCGCTGTTTTGTCATATTGGATGAGAACGGGCTGGTATTTCACCTGAACAAACAAACGTGCTACCTTGTTTTATTTTACAGTTTGTACTTTCATCCCGGCGAACCGCTTTAATCCACTTCTTCCTTATACTCAATTCAGTCGGGAATCCATGAAAACGTCTCGGTTACGTATGTAACCCTCGTTCCCTGAGTAGGGAACGGAGACGTTACGTCAGAAGTGACGGAGATTGGGGGATTTCGCATAGAAAGCCAATCCTCTTCGAGTATTTAAACACGAGCCAATGGCATGCAATGCCTTGGGGCTGCGGAAATTTGCATAGCGTACTCCGCCCTACTCCGTGAGTATAAAAGGAGGAAGTGAACGCAACCGCAGTATGTCTTCACTGAGGAGCCAAGACTGAACTCGGCATCTACCCAGCGATACAGCAGAAGTGGCAGGGAGACGTAACGTCTCCGTTCCCTACTCAGGGAACGAGGGTTACATACGTAACCGAGACGTTCCCTTTCGTAGTCACTTCGAGTTACGTCAGAAGTGACGGAGATTGGGGGTCTGTGCCATCACGCCATCTTCAAGCTGTCTTCCAGTGCCCTGCGAAAGACTGAACCCCCGAGCCTTACCTCTTTTTTTTTTTTTTTTTTTGGGGATCCGACTTTGACACAGGATTACCAAGGTACACTGGGAAACATATCCCGAAGGGGACATGCTACCAGCTGCCTACCGAAGGGAGGACTTATGAATACACATATGGCCACATAGGAACGCATATGGAACACTGGAGTCCCAACCGCAGGTGGCTACTGATTTAAACTCCAGGGGTGGCAGATGGCTTGCCAAGGGAAGACACATGCTCAGAGAGACTTACAGTGGATAATACACATGAGACGGTTACCATGGGGAACCGTGCGCATGGAGGCACCTAGCTAGCATCCAGAGCAACGCAGTGGTGCCCGCACCGTCGGTGCTGGAGGACTCAAGACTTCAATGGAAGAACTGAGGAAATATCGCACTTATCCAGTCCGGGGAGTGGAGTGGCGAGCAAGCGAAGACACCTGAGCGGATCCAGAACTGGCCGAAACGAGTACGTGAGAGGATACCGGCTCAATTCGCAGATTATAGAATCTGGCGAAGGTGTTGGGTGTCGCCCAGCCTGCAGCTCTGCAGATGTCTGTTAGCGAGGCGCCGTGCGCTAAAGCCCAAGAGGAGGCTACACTCCGAGTGGAATGGGCCGTCACACCAAGGGGGCACGGAAGGCCTTGCTGCTGGTAAGACAAAGCAATGGCATCCACTATCCAGTGGGACAGCCGTTGCTTTGAGAGAGCCCTTCCCTTCTGGCTCCCTCCATGACAGACAAAGAGCTGGTCTGAGGTCCTGAAACACTGCGTTCTGTCGACATAGGTGCAGAGAGCACGTACCGGACAGAGCAGTGCCAAGGCTGGGTCTGCCTCCTCCGGGGGCAGCGCTTGCAGGTTCACCACCTGGTCCCGGAAGGGAGTGGTGGGAACCTTGGGCACATATCCCGGCCGGGGTCTCAGGATCACGTGAGAGTAAGCCGGCCCGAACTCCAGGCACGCTTCGTCAACGGAGAATGCGTGCAGGTCCCCCACCCTCTTGATGGAGGCCAATGCAACCAGGAGTGCTGTCTTCATGGACAGAAACTTTAACTCTACCGATTGCAAAGGCTCAAAGGGATGCCTCTGCAGAGCACTTAAAACTACCGAGAGGTCCCAAGAGGGTACGAGGGGAGGACGAGGCGGATGCAGCCTCCTCGCTCTCCTCAGGAACCTGATGACCAGGTCGTGCTTCCCTAAGGACTTACCTTCCACTGCTTCATGAGAAGCGGCAATGGCCGCGACGTAAACCTTAAGGGTGGAGGGCGACAGCCTGCGCTCCAACCCTTCTTGCAGGAAGGAAAGCACGACACTGATCGAACATCTCCGGGGGTCTTCTCCGCGAGAAGAGCACCAATTGACGAAGAGGTTCCACTTCAACGCATAAAGGTGTCTCGTGGACGACGCTCTTGCGGAAGTGATGGTTGCCGCCACCGCAGGTGGCAGCGAACTCAAACCTGCCTCGTCCCGTCCAGGAGCCACACGTGCAGCCTCCAAAGATCGGGACGAGGGTGCCACAGAGTGCCCCGTCTCTGAGAGAGTAGGTCTTGTCTCAGAGGAATAGGCCAAGGAGGTGCTGTCGCGAGGAGCATGAGATCGGAGAACCACGTCTTGGTGGGCCAGTAGGGGGCTACCAGCAAGACCTGCTCCTCGTCCTCCTTGATCTTGCACAACACCCGTGCAAGGAGGCTCACTGGGGGAAACGCATACTTGCGTGGGCCCCGTGGCCAGCTGTGCGCCAGCGCATCCGAGCCGAGAGTGCCGCGGGTCAGAGAATAAAACTGGGCGCAGTGGGACGAGTCCCGAGAGGCGAACAGGTCTATCTGTGCCTCCCCGAACTCGTCCCAAATCAGCTGGACCGACTGGGGATGGAGTCGCCATTCGCCGGAGAGGGGACGGACCCGGGACAGCTCGTCGGCTGCCCAGTTCCGGTCTCCAGGAATGTAAACTGCACGAAGGGACCTCAGGTGCTTCTGACTCCATATCAAGAGGTGGCGGGCGAGCTGCGACAACTGGCGTGAGCGTAGACCCCCCTGGTGGTTGATGTACGCTACTGCCGTAGTGTTGTCTGAGCGGACAAGCACATGCTGGCCCTTGAGCAACGCTCGGAAGCGGTGTAGGGCGAGCCGTACTGCCAACAGCTCGAGGCAATTGATGTGCATGAGGCGCTGGGCTCCTGTCCAGGAACCGGCGGCTGCATGCCCATTGCACATGGCACCCCAACCCGTGGTAGATGCATCCGTGGAGACAACGAGATGCCTGGAAACTCGCTGAATAGGGACGCCGGTCCGTAAGAAGCTGAGGTTCGACCACGGGAAGAAGGTTCGCCGGCATGCCGGAGTCACTGGGACTCGGAGCGAGCCGCGATGCCATGCCCACCTCGGGACTCGATCGCGAAGCCACAGCTGAAGCGGTCTCATATGAAGCAAACCGAGCGGCGTTGCCGCGGCCGCGGATGCCATATGCCCCAGGAGCCTCTGAAATAGTTTCAGTGGAACCGCACTCTTGCCCTCGAACTGTCGAAGACAAGTCAGCAGTGAGTGCGCGCGCTCGTTCGTGAGCTGCGCGGACATGGCGACCGAGTCTATCTCCACGCCGAGAAAAGAGATCCTCTGCACGGGGCAAAGTTTGCTCTTTTCCCGGTTGACCCGAAGGCCCAGACGGGCTAGGTGCCGGAGCACCAGGTCTCTGTGTTCGCAAAGCTGAGCTCGAGAGTGTGCTAGTATCAGCCAGTCGTCGAGATAATTCAGGATGCGAACCCCGTGTTCGCGAAGGGGAACAAGGGCTGCCTCGACGATCTTCGTGAAGACGCGAGGGGACAGAGCTAACCCGAATGGGAGAACGGCGTACTGATATGCCTGGCCCTCGAAGGCAAACCGAAGAAACGGTCTGTGTCGAGGTAAAATGGACACATGGAAGTACGCGTCCTTCAGGTCGATCGCTGCAAACCAATCCTGATACCGAACACATTCGAAAATGCGTTTGGCCGTGAGCATTTTGAACGGTAGTCGATGGAGAGAACGGTTCAAAATGCGCAGGTCCAGGATCGGTCGTAACCCACCGGTCTTTTTGGGGACAATGAAGTAGGGGCTGTAAAACCCGGACCTCACCTCGGCTGGAGGGACCGTCTCGATTGCACCCTTCGCCAGCAGGGTCGCAATCTCCGCTCTCAAGACTGGGGCATTGCCACCGACCATCGTGGAGCGAACTCCCGTGAAGCGGGGAGGAGACCGTAGCCGAGTCTGATCGTTCTGATGACCCAGCGGGATATCCCAGGAAGCGCTAGCCAGGCTTCCAGGAAATGAGCCAACGGGGTCATGCGAACCACAGACGTCCCCCGGAGGGGCAGCGGTGCGGGTCGACTGGCACGCGTGCAGGAGTTACCCCGCTCGGATGCGTCGAAGCCCGCTCCCCGACAGAAGGGACCAGGGAAAGCGGAGCGTTCCACGGGGGTCTGTTCTGCCGGGGGTCTGGCGACAGAGGGGGAAGGGATTGGTGTAGCCCTGGGACGACACACGCACCCTTCCGCGCCCTCAGAGACAGAGAGGAGTGTGTGGGCTGACGCACGGGGGCATCGAGCGCACCCACTCCAGTCTGTGAGCTCAGTGAGGATGTCAAGTCTTTCTTTAACCAGTTCAGGGTGCTGCCCACCCGTGGGTGAGCAGCGGGGAGCTGAGAACAAAAGATTCTCCCCCGGCCCTCCACCGGGGGAAGGAGGGGGCCTGCTACCGCCTCCTGGGAAAGACTCGAGATCGTCACTGAGCGGCCCGTGTCAGGATCTTCGCTTAGCCTGGCGTTTAGCGGGGCGAGCGGCCTGAGGGGGCTGTGACGCCGGCCTGCGGCCTCCTCGACGCCGGGGCCCGGGTGAAGGCTGCTGCTGGGGCCGGGCGGGAGGGAGGGGAGCCGCAGGGGGGCGTCCTCGGCGGCGAGCAGAGGGAGGCACCTGCGCCGATGACTGGGTGGAGGCAGCAGCTGGTCGCCGGGGCAGGATGTGTTTGATGGCCTCCGTCTGCTTCTGGCGGTGGAGAACTGCTGGGCGAAGTCCTCGACCGCACCGCCGAAAAGGCCAACCTGGGAGAGCGGAGCGTCGAGCAGACGAGTCCGCTCAGCGCTCCGCGTATCTGCCAGGTTGAGCCAGAGATGGCGCTCCTGAACCACCGAAGTGGCCATCACCTGACCGACGGCGCGAGCGGCCACTTTCGTTGCCCGGAGAGCAAGGTCAGTGGCGGACCGCAATTCTTTAAATGCCGTCGAGTCAGTCCCGCCCTCGTGCATGTCTCTGAGCACCTTCGCTTGGAAGACCTGCAAAGTGCTCATGGCATGCAAAGCGGAGGCCGCCTGTCCCGCCGCTCTATAGGATCGCGCCGCCATAGCAGACGAGAACCCACAGGCTTTGGATGGGTGCTTAGGAGGACCACGGGTGGAGGCGCTCTGTGGACACAGCTGCATCGCAACAGAGCGCTCCACCGGGGGCATCCCAGTGTACCCACGGGCGGCCCCACCGTCGAGGGGGGGAAAGGCGGGGGAGAGATCGCGCTCTCGAGTGGACAAAGGAGCCCCCCAAGAGCGCGATAACTCCGCATGCAGCTCGGGGAAAAAAGGTATCGGAGTTGGCCGTGGCCTTGCGGCGGCAGCTTTGTCCAGATACCAGTTATCCATCCGCGAGAGATCGGGGCAGGATGGAGGTTTCCATTCTAGCCCGATACTCCCAGCGGCTCGAGACAGCATGGCCGTCAGCTCGGGATCTGACACGGGCAACGCTGGCACTCCCGAAGGGGCAACGCCGCCGCATCTTCCTCTCCCGAGGACTCAAGCCCGCCTAGTGATGCAGTGATAGACATCACATCATCATCTGGAGCGCTGCTAGAAGCAGCCGCGCCGCCGAAGAGACAGCCGGCTGAATCGAGCTGGCGCTCGCTGGCTCACGCACTGAGGCGGGAGGTGTGGCCCGAGGAATCGTCGGGGCTCTATCCCACACCGTCACCGTTAGATCGCCGGTCCCCGGGTCGACGGGCCCCCTTTCGTGAAGGAAGCCGATCGAGTAGGGGGGACCGGGGCTCTCACTCTAGTGAGATCATTGAGCCTCGACCTCAGTGTGGAGATGGTCATGCTCCCACAGAAGGAACATGAGTCATCCACGAACGCTGCTGCTGCATGCTGAATGCCCAGGCATACAAAGCAGCGTTCGTGACCATCAGATGATGACAGAAATCTACCACATCAGAAGCGCACAGGCGCGAACCATCTTTAAAAAGACGTGCCGCGTGCAGCTCTTTCACTTTCACTTTTAAGAGAAAGGAGAAATTCACTCTTTCAGCGCTGAAGCTACCAGGGAGAAGTGCAAAGTCTGGCAGACCACTGCTCAGATCGCAGGCAATGCAAAATCTCGCTTGGGTACCGCCGTCACACCAACACTGAGAGAGGACGCTCGTTCTCGAAGAGTCTTGAATCAGCTTTTAGGAGTGAAGAGGTTCTCTTGCTCCGAAGCGAAAAACATACTGCGGTTGCGTTCACTTCCTCCTTTTTATACTCACGGAGTAGGGCGGAGTACGCTATGCAAATTTCCGCAGCCCCAAGGCATTGCATGCCATTGGCTCGTGTTTAAATACTCGAAGAGGATTGGCTTTCTATGCGAAATCCCCAATCTCCGTCACTTCTGACGTAACTCGAAGTGACTACGAAAGGGAAC